GGATTAACAAACAATATGTCAACAATCGCATGCGAACGTAAATATTTTTCTTTTTAAAACAGTTTTAAAATTGAGTGGAATGTACGAGAAAAGTAAATCAGTTGTCATGGCGCTACCTCTGTTTAATGTGTGAAGCTTACCAAGGAACCACTTAACATATAACGCATATACACTGCCGTGCAAAATAATTTGGCGATTGTGAGATACCCATTGATATGGTGCATGAAATATGGCCTACCTGTATATACTTCCTGTACTCGGCAGTTGACATTACATTTACTTGGGTCAAACCAAGAGGATTTGATGAATACATACAGAATTCCAGGACCCACCTCGATAATAACTCGTGTCCGATACGTCATGGAAGTCGTAAAACAGGAAACAGTGGTTGTATTAATCTAACTGTAACACGTCGGTGTCAGGTGGTATGCACGATCCTATTTCTAATATGGAATCCATGCGCTTGATCACACACGTGTACCGCATATCTTCACGAAGTGACCTCATTATATAATCTGTATGTATATTTCAGCTAGATGTGTACCGCATGTCCACACGGAGTGACCTCATCATGTAATCTGTATGTATATTTCAGCTAGATGTGTACCGCATGTCCACACGGAGTGACCTCATCATGTAATCTGTATGTATATTTCAGCTAGATGTGTACCGCATGTCCACACGGAGTGACCTCATCATGTAATCTGTATGTATATTTCAGCTAGATGTGTACCGCATGTCCACATATGACCTCATCATGCTGTATGTATATTTCAGCTAGATGTGTGTGTATCTGCATGTCCATGTGTACCGCATATCTTCACGGAGTGACCTCATCATGTAATCTGTATGTATATTTCAGCTAGATGCATATCCACACGGAGTGACCTCATCATGTAATCTGTGTGTATATTTCAGCTAGATGTGTACCGCATGTCCACATGGAGTGACCTCAACACAGACTCTAAGAACTACATTCAGAAGAAGGTAGGTGTTTGAGTAGAGCAGGCAAAGGTTCATATATACAGACACTATTGACATGACATGTAGTTCCTCGATGTGTTCAAGAACCAATTACAGTTACTTGCACTTCATGCTCAATCAATCTTTATGTAGCTGAGCACCAAACAACTGATTGTGGCTCCGATGATCACTTCGTACACAGTTCTAAAGTAGAATACTAGTTTAATTATCAGTGCAAAGTTTTTGAACTGACCCTTACAAATGCTTAGTCAAGATATTTAACATTTTCTTGCCATACAGAAAACTTGTACCTTCCGGTCTGAATATCCCGACCCTTGTAATTTGCCAGTACAATAATTTGCCACTTCCAGTACACTGAAACTAAACGATAATACACTACCATAATAATTCATTTCGTATCGACGAGCACTTGCACCGTTAGATGGGTGTATTCCTATATGTAGACAGATAAACATAATCTTGCACTACATCGTAAATGAGGCAGCTCACTTATAAATTGTATTCTTGAGTGAAATCACTTCTTATTTATTGATTATATATATCCCAAGACTGGAATTATATGATAAAGGAATATTACTCTCGTGTGTTTCCCTATCGACAATCTAGTATGCTGGGAAAGAAATCGAATACATGTTCGAAATATTCGTTTAACTAGAATGAAAGTTGTCATGTAATCTTTTGTGGTGAATGTCCGATTCAAGCAATTGATTCAATATAATATATTATTCATTAACTTTCATTTAAACATGTAGAGGTACACATGCACCCATCCCTTTCTTTGTCACTGTGTGTCATGGTGACATTAGAAGTTTGGTGAGTTGACCAGACATCCCGATATGTGGACAGCTCAGCTCAGTTCGTTGATTTGCCACTTAGCATGGACACCATTCGTAACGATACAATATGTCTGATGTTCTCTTAAGTCAGCCCTGATGTGATCATCTGCTCTTGTTACAGCTGAAGTGTTGTGGTCTGACCAGCTTCACCGACTACCGAGAGACGATCTCCCAGCTTCCAGACACCTGCTTCACACCCGGGACAGTCAAATCTTCAGTCAATATGTACATAGTCAGTACACCTGTCTTCACTGACATTTGCTAGTTACGTTAGACATTAAAAAGATGTCGAATAGGAGAGTAGGGTGTAACGCTCTGAGGAGTGTGTCAGTTACAGCACGGCGTGTCGGCTGAGAGGAACGTCGTTGTGTCCCAGAGCGTAGATGTTTATCTCTTCAGGGTTCTGTCACATTAAGAGTATAAATTTGGATCTGGAATTGGACTGACTGACTGAGTTTGGTTTTACGCCGCTTTTAGCAATATTCCAGCAACATCACGGCGGGGGACACCAGAAATGGGCTTCACACATTGTACCCATGTGGGGATTGAACCGGGGCCTTCGGCGTGACGAGCCAACGCTTTAACCATTAGGCTACCCCACCGCCCCTCTGGAATTGGAAAGTACGAACAGCGTAACATGGGTGACAATGGGACGCAACTCTGTATTGGGAATTCCCTGACCATAGCTCCGTGACCTACTGAATATTGATCTTTAATTAACCATGTTATCAAAATGAGAAAACTACTCGCTGCAGTAAGCTATAGAATCTAACCATCACAATGTTTCCAGTCCGGGTGTTGGAGCAAGATTAACGGGTGGCTGCTGCAGAACGTGGCGACGTGGGCGTGTACGATAGCGGCAGTGGTTGTCTTGGAGGTAAGGATCAGGCTCACACGTCGTGTGTACAAGTTACCCTTAGATCCAATATAGGCCAAAGTGTATTAAGAGATAAAACAAAACAACAGCGGTCTATCTACCGACATAACCTGTCTCGCCATTACATTGAAAACCGAACATGCTGGAAGAAAAGCCGAAACATAAACCTTTACAGAATATTATGTGTTATCAAAACAACAAAACTCCCTTTTTCATCTCATTTCGAACTGTACCATGCTTCCGAATTGTTGATTAAGCTATCTTTGATTGTTCAGCATTGTTGCAAATCGAAGTATTTCTCATCTATTTTGTTCTGAATGTTATACATATTACAGTTGAATGTTGAAACAGTTGAATATTTTACGTGAATCTTAGCTCTGACTTTGTCTCATGAAAGTCTTAATGTTGCAGCTACTGTGCCTAATCCTGGCTGTTCTCATCCTGGTAAAGATTTCCAGGTCAGCGAAAGTCTCTGCCCGAAGACAGAGTCTCCCCTACAAGGTGGAGAAGGAGACAGTGCAGGAGGCCAGCAACACGGGAAGTGGAGACAATAGGGTTGGTACAGCGCCGCTGCACGACGCAGTTTCATCTGCTGCTAAACCGGAAGTCCAGCTTGCCGGGACGCCACCTGGATCCATGACGGTGGATGAAGGGTACAACAGCGACGCCAGTCCCAGGGAAGCACGTTCTAGGAACCAAGACACAGACAGACGGGACAGAGTTGTTGGTGGCAGGGTTGTTCTTGTGGGGACCAGTAGCCTCGGTGTGACGAGAGGGAGTGACAGATCTATGCCGCGTCACACCCTCAGCCCAGCAACTTACAGCAACCGACAGTTCAAACCAGTCAACTACTAACGCTGTTGGGACAACCAGTAGCACAGTGGTCTAATGAACACCAAACTCTATGCACTGAGTTAACGTATCTTAAGTTCATGTGTTCGAGCGTTCCACTATTATAATATGAAACATGTTGGTCATATCGTTATGGGACCCGTGAAGGTCCGAGTTAGAATGAATCTTCAGTAACCCATGCTTGTCGTAAGAGGCGACTAACGGCATTGGGTGGTTAGGCTAGCTGGCTTGGTTGACGCATGTCATCGGTTCCCAATTGCGCAGATCGATGCTCATGCTGTTGATCACTGGATTGTCTGGTCCAGACTCGATTATGTATGTTGATTTGAACAGATGCAAACTTTGAACTGAGAAAACACACACTAAGATGGGTTTTGTCAATTAAACATGTCTGTGTATATATAACATAAACATTTCATACCATTCTGCTTCATGACATTTTCATTTATCGTCATCTCAACAACTTCATCAATCAATACATTTACCTGTATAATGCATAGTTTTACCTTGATCATCTGGTTAAATCATGAACTGCAATAAACATTACCTAACAGTGTTTCACCGTTCTTCAGAAGCGATATATGAAGCATTGTAATGTGTAATGTCACATGGCATCATCCTGGGAACGATGGAACAGTGACCCTCACATCCATCTTGTAGCATAGGCACTAAAAGGACTCAGTCTTTGTTTACGTGGCAAACTATCCAGCAGCCATGTATTGTCTGTACCCACCCAAACCTAAACACACGATCTGATCATACATATGTCAGTGTAACAGCAACTCAGTAAGTTGAGTTTAATTCTACAATAATCCAGGAGTGAGAGAGTATGGTTTTATGCCGCTTTTAGCAACATTCCAGCAATATCACGGCGGGGGACACCACAGATGGGCTATAATCCCGGAACATCAGGGTATGGGGCACATTATCATTCTGCTGTGCATAGCGTTCAATTCTATTGTCCGTTTACCTGCATTTGTACCGACACATCGCATTGAAAGAAGCAACAAATGGACTCCGTCAACCCTGCCCTCATCACTTATCATTACCTAATGATGACCTTGGTATGTTGTGGGTGGAGAACTTGTTGACCGGATGCGACCCCGACATGACATGTCTGTGAAGTCGATGTTGGCCGATATTGCAATCCGTTGTGTGTCACGGGCAGGACAAACCCGTTCAACATGCTCACCAACACCGGCATGACGCGGCTGTTCAATACACGCGCTCAAACATTTACCCGGATGATAAAAATAATAATTATAATCACTGAATGTGTGTTTGTACACCCACACGAGCTTCAACATAAACATTGATAACGGCATGCAAATGCTGTATAATTCCACACACTGTATGTACGTATGCAGTATTGAATAAAACGTGCCTGGTTGAGCTGTGTGTAAATAGATTCTATACAAAATCCCCTTCATTATACAGCTGGGAGCTGTGTCCCGTTCAACCGGTCTCCCCGCAGTGTTCGCGACAACAATCAAGCGCCGACTTGGCATGTCGTTCCGAGTCAAGATGTAGCCCTGTCATTGAGATACAGGTGCGGTAATGTAGGCCTGCATAATACAGCGGTGATACATTGGGCATTCAGGACAGGTGTACATACTGGGGCGACTCACTACTGGGACAATCAAACTGTATACGGTGCTGGGAGCTCAGAGACATCACAGCGCTTGGTGCTAGGTCTGGGACAACAAGACGGTGTTTGGAGCTAACTATGCGAGGGAGACCGCCATGGCGGTCACAGGATGTCTCAGACCATGGTTCATCGTTTTCAACTGTATATTCTGGGTGAGTTTAAGTTTCTCTTAGGACACTGTTTGGTTCATATTGACGATCCACGTCGGTAAGTGAAATCAATCTTGGTCGTCATGCATGAACACATCTATCTGGCGACATGAGAACTGTACCTGTCATTTTTCAACCTTTCACGCCTGAATGGAAAACGTCTGTTCCCAACCGATCGATGGACGGGAAATCGGATAGTGATGCATTATTTGCGGTTTATTGTGTTATATGACACACGGGACTTGTGTATGAATGGTGCATTGTGTTAGGGGTCTCCCAAAAAGGACTGTCTTGCGCATGGAGTTCTGGGGAGTTCTACCGGAACCCTCTTTGTAGCTCCATATGACAGTAGTGCTGTGCCTATCTAATTATACGTAATAAACTGTTTTAGCACATGTAGAACTAGATGGTTTGTGAAGCAGATTCGCGTTGTCTTTGCCCACAGACAGTCTGCCGTGGTGTAGATGTTACCAATAGAGAGAGAGAGAGAGAGAGAGAGAGAGAGAGAGAGAGAGAGAGAGAGAGAGAGAGAGAGAGAGAGAGAGAGAGAGAGAGAGAGGAGAGAGAGAGAATTGTATTTGATCATACAATTATACATTAGTACATAATCATTTTGTATATGTTTAAGTAGGACAACAATGACTTACTAGTCCCCAAGTAATGTGAACCTCCGTTAATCCGGACTGTAGTGATCTCATTAATATTAAACAAATTTCGGGTTTCAAGTGTTTTTTAATACGATGACATATTTGAAGACATTCCTGAAAGTTAATGTCCCGATAACAGATGTTTCAGAATGACGGTGTCGGGTTTGACGAGGTGTCCTGTATTTGACAGTGTTCCGATTCTATATGTTAATTGCCGTATACCAAATACTCCGTTATACCGGCAGGATGTTACATAAGCACATGACTCATGTTTGACATCTAACTGAGTATGGACTAAAAAGCGCGAGTTGTGCTGTCTCACTAAATGTCATGTTTGTTATTGCCCGTGTTAAAATACGACGCTATGTTTACAACCCATTTACTCTCGCACCTTAGCTAATGTCACCCGGCAACTCGACATGCTGGTCTAAATGCGTTTTAAAGTTTTCTCGTTACGTCAACACAATTAGATTGTAAAACATATTTTTACAGCTCATCAATCGTTGCGCGATATCTGAAACATGTCTCACTCTAGAAAATCGATTTTCCATTTGCTCCGAAAAAAGTTTCTTCAGATGTCGTTTAAAAATATTGCAGATTTTACAAATATAATAGACAAGTCATCATTTTTATATAAACAAGTGCTTATTGATATAATATATCGCAGATGTCGTTATTATGTCATACATGTCACTGATAGGTATGACAGGCATTTAGAAATTTACGAACATGGATATATGCCACTTATCTATGGATAACATCTTCTTTTAGTCTTCGCCATGACGTTTCGGCTACGTCTTGTTCCTGCACCAGCTGTATGTCATGACGTTTCGGCTACGTCTTGTTCCTGCACCAGCTGTATGTCATGACGTTTCTGCTACGTCTTGTTCTGTATGTCATGACGTTTCAGTTACGTCTTCAGTTACGTCTTGTTCCTGCACCAGCTGTATGTCATGACGTTTCAGTTACGTCTTGTTCCTGCACCAGCTGTATGTCATGACGTTTCAGTTACGTCTTGTTCCTGCACCAGCTGTATGTCATGACGTTTCAGCTACGTCTTGACGTTGTCATGACGTTTCAGCTACGTCTTGTTCCTGCACCAGCTGTATGTCATGACGTTTCAGTTACGTCTTGTTCCTGCACCAGCTGTATGTCATGACGTTTCAGTTACGTCTTGTTCCTGCACCAGCTGTATGTCATGACGTTTCAGTTACGTCTTGTTCCTGCACCAGCTTGTTTCTGCTCCAGCTGTATGTCATGACGTTTCAGTTACGTCTTGTTCCTGCACCAGCTGTATGTCATGACGTTTCAGTTACGTCTTGTTCCTGCACCAGCTGTATGTCATGACGTTTCAGTTACGTCTTGTTCCTGCACCAGCTGTATGTCATGACGTTTGACGTTCCTGCACCAGCTGTCATGACGTTTCAGTTACGTCTTGTTCCTGCTCCAGCTGTATGTCATGACGTTTCAGTTACGTCTTGTTCCTGCACCAGCTGTATGTCATGACGTTTCAGTTACGTCTTGTTCCTGCACCAGCTGTATGTCATGACGTTTCAGTTACGTCTTGTTCCTGCTCCAGCTGTATGTCATGACGTTTCAGTTACGTCTTGTTCCTGCACAAGCTGTATGTCATGGGAGAGCAAGAAGTAGCCTCGAGAACAAGACAATTTGTTTTTATTAATACAAGTGTCATGTATTCATATCGCTAGTTTGTAGTAGATATCATTTTGGCGTTATAGATAACATTATTATAGTGTAGTTATCATTACTATATGTTAGATATGATAGTAGAGCAATTAGAAGCATCAGACTCGACATAGGGTCACTGTATATTACTGAAAAAGATTGACACACAATGTGTATTGATTTGTTATATTCCACCTGGAAAGAGAACACTAGTTCCAGTCAACCATCGAAATGGAGTGAGTGAGTGAGTTTAGGTTTACGGTGCTTTTAGCAATATTCCAGCAATATCACGGCGGGGGACACCAGAAATGGGCTTCACACATTGTCCCCGTGTAGGGAATCGAACCCGGGCCTTCGGCGTGACAAGCGAACGTTTTAACCACTAGGCTTCCCCACCGCCCCGATTCCTTTTGGAATCAGAGTCTGTAAAGAGGCCCTGCAAGCCATGCGTGTCTGAAGAGCCGAGTGAGTATCAGTGGTTGGCAATGTAATATCTGGCTGACTGCGTCATCAGTCTGTGTTTGTGCTGTCAACCATTTGTTCACCTGGCCCAATCAAACAATGAATTCAAATATTTGTGACTGTAGAGTTAAGTCATTTCAACTCGACTGCAGGGACATTGTACATGTTGTTGGTTCTTCCTCCAGCTGATCGGGTGTTTCCTGGTCGGGTATATCTCCTGGACGCTGGCCACTAACCCTGCCCTGCTGACCAGCTTTCCGAAAGGCACCACAGTAAGTTGTCGGAACACAGATCAAGTCTAAGCTTTCAGAACAATGTTTTTCATTTAAATATTCCCTTACTTTATGCATATCACTTCCTGGTTTGATTTTTCCAATATGAAGTGCGGAATTTTTCAGCCATTATCATGACGTCACGTTATTGTTCTTGAAGGCTGAATCTGTGCTTGGAAATCCGATTGTACATTTTGAACTCGTTAACCCGATGTCACGATAGGTCATTGTGCAACATTATCGAGAAAATATGTTTCAACCATAACATGGATTGAGTCCTATTGTAACAGCATGATGATCTTACCCTATTGATATACCATTGCTTTACTGAATGTAACGGGTATTTGAAACAAGTAAACCAAGCGACCCGAACTGGTTGAACAAACCGAACAGCTACATACCGTCAGGTTATCTCTTATCTAAAGATTGGCGGTGGGGTAGCCTAGTGGTTAAAATGTTCGCTCGTCACGGGTATGATTACCCACAGGGGTACATTGTGTATACTACATTTCTGGCATCCCCGCCGTGATATTGCTGCTGTAATATTGTAATTAACCCAATTAACTCTTATCTAAAAGCTGTGACGTCTTAATGTAACTGAGACTATAAGTAAACTATCACAGTTTAAAAGCGCTGATAATCCGACGACTCTCACCTAAGATAATTGTCAGTCTCGTGAGCAACATCTTCCTGTGTTTCAGTACTTCACCTACACCATCCTGACAGCTGGGGCCTTTATATTTGTCACAGGTATGTGTAATCGTGTTCTCAAGATCCTCTAGTTATGAGTAGCCGCCATATAGCTGGAATATTGCTGAGTGCGGCGTAAAACTAAACTCACTCACTCACAAGTTATGAGTGGGACGGGTATGTACTATTTTAAACGTACATATAAACGTTACATTGCTGACCTGTCTAATACTACATTCTCACCGATTAGAAATATTTGTCTGTAAGTTCCCTGTTCTCCGTAACATTCCCGAAAGTGTGGATCTGGACCTCTTCTGGCCCCGCCACGCAAAGCGGTGTTATCTCAACTCACTTAACAGGTAGGACGGGTAATTCGCTTGTGTGAGGGTCTTTGTAAACGTCAGATCAGTGTCAATCTGTAGTCAGTTAACGTTTGTCTCATTACACGTATCTGTCTACAGTAAAATCAATAGTCCGGATTGTATCCTTCATGTCAACGCAGTTATATCGAACAGCAATCATTTGGTTAAACGATTCATGCTTTCAGAGTACTGTCCTATGTGTATGTGCGCGTGTGTGTTTGTGGGTGGGTGTGCAAGCGTATGATGCACAACGGTACCCGGAATTCGAAGTGGCCGGGATACTACGTTTTTCTTAATGTCATACTGAGCACCATTGTGTCTCCACAGGTTTCCTGGGTTGTGTTGGAGGTCTAAAGGAACACAAATGCCTCCTGATAACGGTGAGTGAGTCTTGTCTGTGACAGGAAGTACATACTCAGCCGTATGTTTAACCTGGTATGTTACCACAGTGAAACCCCGTCTTATCAATATGTACACAATTCTTCCAATACCCAGATCAATCGCTACCGCTCGCATTCTCCTGATCGATGCGGTGTGTTAATTACACTGAAACTAGGTAGAATTCCCACATCAAACGTATTAAGAACTATTCTTCATGCGTACTGTGTATATATGTGTACGCATATATATTTATGTAAAGAAATACCAAAGGGATAAATTTCTGTTTTTTATTCAGGATCTACTTTATTCAGTGTTTATTGCTTAGAATATCTTAAGTTAGTTAAGCGTGTGTACCTTCAAGGTTCTTGAATTAGCCTCGACATATTCCTAGAAGAAGTTTAACAAAGCTCCTTCCTCAAAACATTTCCGATAGACTTTCTCTTGCTTACTCAACAGTTTATAGTCCTGTTGTTGATCTTCCTCGCCGTGGAGATAGGGGGCGCTGTGACCGCATACCTTCTAAGGGGCGAGGTTAGTGAAGACAAGTTGCTTTCAGTCTTTCAGCTTTAAGGAAAGCATCTTATATAAACGGGAAAGACAGATGGGATGTTGACCTCAGATAGATCAGTATTTAAGTCGTATGGCGACGTGTCAGATTCATGTGAAAAGTTCGTCCTAGTGACGCAATGGCACTTGACGCAGATACGCTGTGGGAATTCCGGGTTAAAACAGACCGCCAGTTTATTTTTATGGTGTGGTCGGGCTCGGTGACTTGAATGTTCGCCCGAATGGGTATATCGTTGCTTACAATTTCGATCACTGGATTGTATAGTCCAGATTCGATTAATTACAGGCCGCTGTCTCTGTCATACAGCTGGTATATTGCTGAAAGCTGCGTTTAACAACAAACACATATTGACGCCTACCTGTTTGGGGAAATCCACTTGCCTGGTCTTGGTTCAGATAAATAAATGTTAACCAAGGCTTACCTGGCACACCTCGCTAACTGGGCTTCCTGTGCCTTCCAAGTAACAAGGCTATCTGAAGGATTATCTCTAAGGAAACACGCACCCTATAAATGATGACGAATCTTGCATCGTTTAGTCAAGTCAGACCTTATTGGTTCCAGCTGCAGGTGTACCGCAACTCCACCTGGCGGGACTTCAACACTGACACACGGGACTTGATACAGACTGAGGTACGATGGCAAGGATACATATAAACAATAGAACGATACAATTAAACATTTAGGAGGTCACCGTGCATGGTAGATGAGAAAACTTCATATTCCCCATCATCCTTGTTATTTGTTGTTTAACGCCACAATCTACGATACTCCATTTAAATGGCTGCGGAGCGTAAATAATCAAGTCTTCATATTATAACATTCTATTTGTTTGTCGTCTTTTTCATTTTAAAGAGTCTACATGTTAAGATGTTCACATGTCGAATCCGTCGGTTACTGTGGTTGTTGTAAGCTGAGACGGTGATGTTTGTGCAGTTGCTCTGTTGTACACTTGGGAGATGTTACCTGTTGTAGTGTTATGTACTTTGAAGATGTGTGTAGTGTGTAGTTGTAGTGACGATGTTGTGTGCTACGATGTGTGTGTAGTTGCAGTGTTGTGAACTGAGACGATGTGTGTGTGTGTGCAGTGTTGTGAACTGAGACGAAGTTGTGTGTGTAGTGTGCAGTTGTTGTGTGCTGTGACCATGAGACGATGTTGTGTGTAGTGCAGTGTTGTGAACTGAGACGATGTGTGTGTGTAGTGCAGTGTTGTGAACTTAGACGATGTTGTGTGTAGTTGCAGTGTTGTGAACTTAGACGATGTGATGCAGTGTGAACTGAGACGATATTTGTGTGTAGAGTGTTGGAGACGATGTGTAGTTGCAGTGTTGTGAACTTAGACGATGTTGTGTGTGTAGTTGCAGTGTTGTGAACTTAGACGATGTTGTGTGTAGTTGCAGTGTTGTGAACTTAGACGATGTTGTGTGTAGTTGCAGTGTTGTGAACTTAGACGATGTTGTGTTGTGTGTAGTTGTGTAGTGTTGTGAACTTAGACGATGTTGTGTAGTTGTAGTGTTGTGAACTGGAGACGATGTGTAGTTGCAGTGTTGTGAACTTAGACGATGTGTGTGTGTAGTTGCACGATGATGTGTTGTGAAGTGTTGTGAACTGAGACGATGTGTGTGTGTGTAGTGTGTGAACTTAGACGATGTGTGTGAACAGTGTTGTGAACTGAGACGATGTTGTGTGTGTAGTTGTAGTGTTGTGAACTGGAGACGAGACGATGTTGTGAACTGAGACGATGTGTGTGTAGTTGCAGTGTTGTGAACTTAGACGATGTTGTGAACTGAGACGATGTTGTGTGTAGTTGTAGTGTTGTGAACTTAGACGATGTTGTATGTGTAGTTGCAGTGTTGTGAACTGAGACGATGTTGTGTGTGTGTGTAGTTGATGTTGTTGAGACGATATGTGTAGTTGCAGTGTTGTGAACTTAGACGATGTTGTATGTGTAGTGTAGTTGCAGTGTTGTGAACTTAGACGATGTTGTATGTGTAGTTGCAGTGTTGTGAACTTAGACGATGTTGTAGTGTGTGAACTTAGACGATGTTGTGTGTAGTTGTAGTGTTGTGAACTTAGACGATGTTGTGTGTAGTTGCAGTGTTGTGAACTTAGACGATGTTGTGTGTAGTTGCAGTGTTGTGAACTTAGACGATGTTGTGTGTGTAGTTGCAGTGTTGTGAACTTAGACGATGTTGTGTGTAGTTGCAGTGTTGTGAACTTAGACGATGTTGTGTGTGTAGTTGCAGTGTTGTGAACTTAGACGATGTTGTATGATTGTGTAGTTGCAGTGTTGTGAACTTAGACGATGTTGTGTGTAGTTGCAGTGTTGTGAACTTAGACGATGTTGTGTGTGTAGTTGCAGTGGTTGTGAACTTAGACGATGTTGTGTGTGTAGTTGCAGTGTTGCGGGCTGTACACGTACAGTTGCAGTGTTGCGGGCTGTACACGTACAGGGAATACAATGAAACAGTGATGAAGATACCCCATAGCTGTTTCTCATCTCAGGCCAATACGTCGGACATCTATCTCAGCACCGTGAGTAGTTGTCTCCCCTGTTGGATATCCGGGTCCAATACCTTTGACGTCTTACTACTGCGAGTACTCACTCCCATCTGTTTTATATCCGAGTCCAATATATCAACTACCCATCTCTGCAACGTCTCCCCTATTTGTTATAGATAAGGGCATTATACGTCGAACGCTTATCCGTACAGTATGAACAGTAATCTCCCTTCACTTACCACTGCCATCTGTGGATGGTCCAAGTCATTAGTCTTCAGTCAGTCTGGGATTAGTCTTGTTTAGTCTGGGATACACATTGCTAATGATCCGTTGTGAATCCTTATCACTGATATAGGTATATCTAAAAGTTTAATCTACCATAACGGTTTTGTCATCTCCAAGCCGCAGTGTTTGCCCTTAACCCTGAACAGCTTTAGGCCCTAAGGAGCCAGAACGATAAAAAAGTTGTGGGTCCTGATAAAAATGTCTAGGCCCTATATTTTAGCTACAATGTAAGTAATTCCCAGCAAACAAGGCCATACGGACCTACAAAAAAACAAAAGCTGTGGGTCCGAGTGGTTTACAGTCGGCTTCGGCCCTAAGGACCGACGATAATTTCGAACGCTGCCAAGCCGTGAAGTTACTGGGTGAGACAGCATTCCGCTTACAACAACCGCTATGGGACTGAACTATATTTCGGATGGGGCATTACATTTTAACTCTCTCACTTCGTTCATATCGGCTCATTGTCAGCTCAACACAGGAACAAAGCTCGACGTGACACAGGCCTCAGACAGTTACCACTTTGTGGAACCTACAAACACGGATACGGTACTAACATATATTCTTGGCGTGCCAAAGAAAGGCAACTCTGCTCAGCGATGTTTGGCACCTTAGAATACTGGGCCGTCAGTGCTCCCTTCAATCTGAAATGGTAATGACCTCCACTGATCTCGTGAGTAGCGTAAATAGCTGTTGTTTCTATAACTACTGATTGGTGTTTTCAGGCTGGATGTTGGAGTAAGATCGACGAATGGCTGTTCGCTAATATCGTGATATGGGCATGCACAACGGCGGCCGTGGGTGTCGTTCAGGTGAGAATCGCGTTTGTTAACTTCTGCAATTCATGGATAGGCACCATATGAAAGACAGGAAACCAACATAAGTGTCACCAGGGTGAAAACACAGGTTAACAACATGACGTACATAGATAGCCCTAGGGTCAGCAGACAGGTAGAAACGTGACGTACATAGGCAGTCCTGGGTTCATCAGACAGGTAAACAACGTGACGTACATAGGTAGTCCTAGGTTCATCAGACAGGTAAACAACGTGACGTACATAGGTAGTCCTAGGTTCATCAGACAGGTAAACAACGTGACGTACATAGGTACTCCTAGGTTCATCAGAAAGGTAAACAACATGACGTACATAGGTAGTCCTAGGTTCATCACACAGGGTAACAACATGACGTACATGGGTAACCCTAGGGTCATCAGACAGGTAAACAACGTGACGTATATAGGTAGCCCTAGGGTCACAGGTTAACAATATGACGTACATGGGTAACCCTATTGTTATGTGGCAGGTAATCAAGTCAACGTACACGGGTGTAACCAGGGTCATCAGCCAGGTAAACAACATGACGTACATGGGTATCCGTAAGGTCATCAGACAGGTAAACAACATGACGTACATGGGTATCCGTAAGGTCATCAGACAGGTAAACAACATGACGTACAAGGTCATACACGTGGACGGGGACAGGAGGGTAACTGGACAAATTATAATTTTGAATGACAACAAAGTTAGCAACATGACACCTGAAGGTGGCAGCATTAATGTAGACACCTAGAGGCAGAACTGCGTTCCTATAGCATTCACAAGTAGGATATCATGGTTTTACTTACTTAAATCAAGTTGTTTTCCATTTCCCGACTAAGTGTTAAAGAGATATGATGTTTTGAGAAATTGTTATTCAGAGCGACCCCTGCCGTACACACGTACATATATATTACCTAGACGTATGGCTGTGCTCACACAACTTCAGCAACTACTACTACCGTTGCAACTACTACTACGCCACTAATACCACTTAATCTGCTATACCTATGATATACGTACTATAGTTTCTATTAGATTTGTGTGGTTACTGAATGTACATCTCAAAATCATAATTTTACTCCGGAAAACCCGTCTGCCAGACGCCTTCTGTTGGGAGGGTCACTATGTAGGACACTATCCTGACTAATCAATATTAATGACGTCATTTCCGGTACCTGATGTGAAAGTCGTAAGGACCGGTCCTCGAATATAAGAGGCGTCCTCTAATATCATCCGGGTATAAGTAAACTAACATCGCTAAGGATAAAGGTGAGGACAATATAACCTGTCCTCTGTGTTAGTAATATACTATATATTCTTCGTGCCGGAAAGACTAACGCAGACGGTGCCTCAACCCATGTCACCCGGAACAGATTGACAACGATAATATCTCACTGTGCACCTAATGTTATGGCAGCTATGTTTCTGGCATGCATGCATTAATCCAACTTGGTAAGCCAGGAACTTCCCGAAATTTGTTCGTTGCTCACATTCATCGAACATTACAAACCAGGAGTTACTCCCCTTAGAACAATTTCGTTCGGAAAATATCGTCAATATCCGGACAATGGCTTCTTACATCATTATTTCGAATTACGAAATTATTATGTTGCAAATTAATATAATGCCAAGAGTTCGACATTTCGAACTTGGAATGTAAGTACATCATATATTTAAACGAGTATTACCTTTAACCCCAGAATTCCTAAATTCATGTTTAATGTGAGACATATGGTATATTACAACGACTCGGCCTGTTTGCTGCAGTTGGTGTGCCTGGTCCTGGCCATCGTGATGCTGGTCAAGGTCTTCCGCTCACAGAAACACATGGGGTTGTGGGACGAATTCTACGACGTGAACTTCCTGCCGTGTAACAGCAACGCAGAGAAAGCCTTGCAATCAACGGATGGGAACTTCACCCTCAGTAGCTCCAGCAACTCGGTGAGTTCTCCATTCAGCACCCTCAGCGTGACAGGGTCAGCTCGGATGGACAGCGCCATAAGGAGTCAACACGAGAAACATTACTACCGTCGGAGCTGGACTTACATGAACTTTGATGACCCCTGCACGCCGGGCACCAGTGTCACGTGATCATATGTCTCTTTATGACTTGATGTATATAATAGTTATATCCAGTCAAACATTGTTGTGTCGAATTTTAAAAGGACCGTCGTAAATATTTCGAGTTATCCGAGGTTCAATAAAAGCGACAAATACATGAATACAGAAATAACACGAAGGGATCAGGAGTTTTTCGGTAAGTTCGACAGAATAATGTTTTGACTGTGTATCATACTAACATTGATATCAAAACTAGATTTCCCCAAAGCTTCATAAGTGGCCTTTTGAATGACTCCGTGGAGTTTCTGTGATGACCGTGTGTTATGTCAGTTGATGAGTCGGAACTCAGTGTGAGTGGGACTTGAAGTGTGTGAGTTTGTACAGTGAATGAATGAGTGAGTGAGTCTGTAAGTGTGTGGTTGGTACAGCTGAATGTATATGTGGATGCATAGAACTGTATGTACGTTTAACTTATAAGTATTGTACAAACCATGTTTGAATTAAATATACAGTGCCGTCGAAGACTTCAGTTTGTTACGTGTTGATCCCTTGTAGAATCATGGGAACTGGAAATCACCCCGTCAAAGAACGATGGCAACAAACAACCAAGAAATGTGATATAATCATTGCAGTCTAATACTTAGAGTCACCAAATCACAATGTTTGGAGCACCATCAAGCCATAACAAATTGATTAAATTTTAGAAGTGGTTCATTGACCTTTTTCAAGAAATGCGTTGGTTTGTATCAGTCAACCTATTGGTAATACACGTCATGTTCAAAACAATGTTGGGCAATACAGACCAAATACATGCATTAAGTTGAAACTTTCGGATGTAAACTATTCTTATTCTCATCCTCACTTGTAACATTATAAAGAACAATGACAATGGCATAGTACAGATTTGAATGGATGGTCCCAGTCTGTGCACTTAAGCATTGATCTCCATGAACCACGGCGACGTGAACTCTACCGACTACATAACGGAGTTATCGGCCTTTGTACATTTCAAAGGTGGGTCTTAGCAGTGAGACCAGAAACGTAACGCCTCGTGTAAACTGAAATCGTGTTTCTTTCTTTATTGTATTAATTATGTATTAGCACCCAAGGGATGTTCTTTGTTACTTTGAGGTCACATTTGCCAGCTGTTCGAAGATATTTTCACATTTTTATTCCATGCTTCGCATTTTAGATTTATCTTCGACAAAAATTGGAATGTATAAGGATAGATGTAAATTAGTTGTACACATGGAAAGTCTATACCAGAGCACGTTGTTTTTTCTGTAAATATATCTCTCTCTCTCGTCATTATTCATTAGCTTGAAAAATAATAGCTGAGACAGAGACACGTTGGTGGACGATCGGAAGCAACAGCTAATGATAATTACATATGTGACGTCAACAATATCGGTCGTACACTGTGCTACTGGGGGATTTGTGAGGACGACAATTCCGGTCCGATCTTGGTGCTTATGATATGTCACTGTTTGGGTACTGCCATGAGAAGATTGGTGCTCATTAAGTCAACCAGTGATTTGTATTGTCCAGATTCCATGTACAAAAGGCACTGATACATCTCTCTGACATTTGGCTTCGTAACACCTGGTATCATCTCTATTTCATAGTGATTCATAAACACATGCTCTGTCATTGTATCGCATGGTGACAATCTGATTGTCTGGTCCAGATTGATTTGTTTACAAACAACATCGTACAGCTGTAAGGCTGCTGAAACAAATATATACTCATCATATAGTCACAACTGTATAATCGACTCTGCTTTTAGCAGAGATTTCTTATCGACGTGGAAAGGATTGGGGAATACTTGTCGCTTCTATTCTCCTTACAAGGATACGAGGGGAGCCTGTGCTCGTGGGGAGCTCGTGTTCGACCTGGAATACAACTCCTCTCCGTGTGTCGACTCTCCATTCCTTAAAGCCTGTGGAGGAGCTCGGAGGGGACCTGGAATACTAGTCACTCTCCTTACAACAAACGTACGACGTATTTGCTTTCTATCAAAATTAAATTCGAAGTGAATACTAGTTTTATTTTGAAACTGGTACACATTTTCCTGAAAAGTAATGGAGCGAACAGACAATGGAATGACGTCACAAATATAATTTAATTACAACAAACGTACGACGTACTTGCTGGGGGAGCCTGTGGGGAGCTCGTGGGGAGCCTGTGTTCGACCTGGAATACTAGTCCCTCTCCTTACAACAAACGTACGACGTATTTGCTGGGGAGCCTGGCTTCGCCTGTTGGATAACGACTTGCTTTGAAAACGTAGAAAACTCACAAGCAGACTTTCTAATCTGTCATATTGACCAGTTTGAACTACTATCTACATTTTCCCTGTGTAAGAACGTCCTTCACCCAGACCATACCATGTAAATACACTAACTTACTTAATATCTAACTTTGTTGCTTCCTCTACTTTGCCAGGATCCATTGCCTGATGATGGTGTTTCAAACTGGCGTGTCAGTACAGTGTCCTGGTTGTGGGATTCCCTTAAAACGTCCGTAAATTGCACAAGTCTTAGGTTTCCTTGACAGACCGTGATACAACTGATAATGCTCCAAGCGACGTTCACCATTAATACTAACACAACACAACATTATCAACTCATTTTATTACATAATTATGTACAAAATAAAATGCCCGAAAAACAATTGCATAATTTACATTTCTACATGTATATAAGACAGCTGTTCAACTGTTCTCCAGACTAATAATCTCCTGTGTCCATGGCAACCGTACACTGATTGTCATGGCAATCTCAATAGTGGCAAGAGGAATTCTCATGAAAAACCGTCTACAAGGAAACGTCGATGATAATGATGAAGTGTAAGTAATACTGTTGAATGAAGCAGGATAACATCGTGACGATGATGAATGATCAAATTCTCATTTTGATCATATATGAGTGATACTGTCTGGTTGGTCCGTTTCCTCGTCCTCCCTTCCACGCAATGACGTCCTTGTGCATGTCTGGTATATGTACAATGACGTCACAGTCAGTAGCACAAACACAATGATGAGTCCGACAACAATGTATGCCGACGTCACAAGACCAAATGCAAAGTAATACGCTGTTACGTCACAATAGGTGGTCCTGATGGAGTCGTGAAACTGCACTATTTTCTCGGCACTGTAGATCCACACTGACCCTGCAACAAAACAGTCACAGTAAGCCTGTTGACACTACAGATGAAAACAAAACTAAAATATTCTTAAACGGGTATCTTGAATTCAGAGACGCAAATTTAATTGTGTTCATATTTATTAGTGGGAAGTTTAATTATTGAAGTAGTTTCTGAAGATATCCATATCCAACTCCGTCAATATCACCGCAGGCACAATCATCTTCACAATCAGTCACTCTCAAATACGCCAACGTTCACAACCATTTACGACCACTCACACACCACCGACTCATACAACCACTCACTCACACATCCACTCTCTCACACATACATTTACTTAAAAACCAATGATTAATGATATCACTGACTCTTCTACAAAATCACTTACATACACATGTCACACATCCACCCACTCACATAACCACCCCCCTCTGGGTGCGCCTATGTTCACTAGTGTTGGGAATTGGTTAAAATCGCATAATTGATGATTGGTTCATTACAAACCGATCAATCACCGAAAATAATTGGCTAGCGTCATTTATGAAATTTTCCTGGTTATTTTTGTTTGCGCAAAAACAAAAAGAAAAAAAAATGTACTTCTTTGATTTGTTGCAAATTGCACATCTTTAAAGGATGACTAGTATGTTAAAAACATTAATTTCTTGGAGTCTTTCAGATAAATTCAATCATGACGTGGAACGAGCTTGTAGTGCTTATGAAATGTAACAGACAAAACCAAACTTGTGAAAAATCTTGTTAATGCAAAAGGTTTTCCAGAATTGTTTGTGTTCGATTATGAGAAAACATGATCGATTGCTTGGTCGTTTAGTCACTGCGACCAATCTTCGATTATTTCAATTAATCGGACCACCACTAATGCTCACACACATACACTCACTTTCCCATCAATCACTCTCACTAACTCACAACACACTTACTCTCAACCCAATAAGGCAGTGTGTGTTCTACACTCCTATATGCTTTAGCTGGTGTAAGTAGAGCCGTGTTTCACATGTCCATCTTGACAAACTACAGAGCTTGTGGTCACTATCCTGTACGATATCAATGGCAGATAACTCTTAGCAGCATACATCGATTAACCCACCTGCCAAGTTCCACAACACGAGAAAAAGCACTAGTATTTTCAGGAGGATGCTCGTGTTATCAAGTCTATTGATATCCGGGTCATTTGACTTTTTCTTCTCCATACACAGTCGGATAGCCGAGATGCCCGTATGTAGAGCCAGGATGCTGCCATCAACCAACAGGAACACGGGAATAGCAGGTTCAAAGGGACATAACTCCTTCTTTTGTATACCTGTACAGCAAAGTATTGCTTCATCAGTTGATGATAACGAGGAGAGACAGTGTAATTCGTCCGAAGAAAAACCCGACGTTATAACATTAAAATCCTCATCTTCATTTCCATGGATGACATGTGGAGGGCATTGATAATTTCTCCCATGTCTGATGGAATTCCTTATTCTTAACTGCATCATAATTATTTTCCGTGTGGTTTTTGGTGAACACTTGGCTTGCCTTTGCATGTGTTTATGATTGTGCCACCGATGGAGCAGGATAGCTGGTATTATCACTATTTGATCGTGATTCATAAACTAAAATATTTGGTTTAGATGGTACAATTGACTCTGCCTTCAGCAGTTTAGATTATATTGATACCGTTACACATATCTGTTCGAAAATCAAGGTCTGATATATGACATTAATATTAGAAAAGTAAAACATGATTACCAACATTGACGCTTTCTACTTCGAGGTTTGAATATTGCAATATTTGTATATGACATAGGGTACTCACCAATGAAGAGCATGCTGACTGTGATACAGATGCTGCAAAACCGCACACACTCCCGTAACACTGGAAATAACGATTTGGTGTTTAGCTGTGATGGCATATTTCTACAAAAATATCTGTTCAAGAAACAAATATTGTAACATTCAGTCATAAGTGATAGCTGACTGATACTAACTAAACCACAGTGAAGGGGTGACATCGCTTAGTTGTATCAGGATCTGCTACTCGTGGATTCTGCTACTCGTATATATTTTCATTTTAAAGGTCAACGTTACAGCCCTGTGCCACGTTGGCTACTCTCAATACGAGTCTTTTAGCCTACTGAAATACCGTCCAAATCAGCGCAAGCCCTATTCCCTCGCTCCCTCATACGTTAATAATAGAGTAGCTGTGTATGTTCACCAAGCATCAACCTTGAAACTGTTTTACGATTTCTGATTTAACCTTCATGGGTTAACAAGTAGTAATTATCCAATCACATGTCCTGTGGCAACATTTCGAAACGTTTTACATAAAATTCGCATATACCTAATTTCAAAGTCGAAGTAGGCGAATGACGTTTTATGCCACAGTCAGCAACTCCCAATTTGTAAACAATGCCTTCAAAGTACGAGAATAAAATACCATATCTTCTTCTGGCCAACAAATAATGCCATTTTCTTTCAAAACGAATTTCGTGATGTGATCAAGTATAATAACAAAGATATTAAACACTGCATAATTATACAAGTAAGCGCTAAAGAAGATCTTAGTCTATTCAGAGATAAGACATCTGGATGTCACAGCAAACGCCGCCACCCTCATAAGACTTGATGAGATAAACAAAAACAACTAACCTACATTGCTAACATACGAGACATATATACATACCAAAAACAAATGGGTGAGAAAAATAAATGAGTGAGTGAATTATTTTGTTCGTGTTCATATATTCAGCAATACCCAAACTGGATAACACCAAGAATGTATTCCACATAATGTTCCCATTGTCAAAGCTCCGCACACATTGTTGTATTCAAAACGATAAAAAAGTAGTGTAACTACGATACCCGTGTTGAAACCAAAAAAGTTACTGGACGTCCACAACGTAGACGTAGACGATACCGACATGCACTGTCGCAATTCAAACCAGTCATTAACATATTTATAGCTATCTTATTTCAAGATTTGAGCCAGAAACATTCCATGGTTTCAGATATGTTGATTACAGGTGCTATTTGAACAAAGGCGTCGCTCAAGACTGTCTTCACGTATGACTATAATCTTCAGCAGATGACGTCGTGGCGAGGATGATTCATCATAAGCTATTATTAAGGTGTACACCAGCAGATGTATTCTGCGATAGGACATGGCTCTTAGACGTATCATTAACATCCAACTTACCTCTGTTTTTGAAAACATATCTCAGGAACAGGTATGAAACGCGCAAAGGGTTGTGTCTTCTTCTCTTGCTCCCTTCAGGTGTGTGTCTGAACTGGCCACAGATGACATCCTGGAACAGAAACATATAACATATGTATCTTATGTACCCATGAACTGGAGCTACAATGACCACTGTTACAGAAAACCTGCACCCTTATGCACTTGAACAGAAAGCATGTGCCCTTGACCAGGGCCTATCTTATGCACTTGAACAGAAAGAATGTACTCATGACCAGGGCCTATCTTATGCACTTGAACAGAAAGAATGTAGTCTTGAACAGACCCTATCTTATGCACTTGAACAGAAAGAATGTACTCTTGAACAGGAGCTGTCTTATGCACTTGAACAGAAAGCATGTGACCTTGACCAGAGCCTATCTTATGCACTTGAACGGAAAGAATGTACTCTTCATCAGGAGCTGTCTTATGCACTTGAACAGAAAGCATGTGCCCTTGACCAGAGCCTAGCTTATGCACTTGAACAGAAAGAATGTACTCTTGAACAGGAGCTGTCTTATGCACTTGAACAGAAAGCATGTGCCCTTGAACAGAAAGAATGAAGTCTTGAACAGGAGCTGTCTTATGCACTTTAACAGAAAGCATGTGACCTTGACCAGAGCCTATCTTATGCACTTGAACAGAAAGAATGTAGTCTTGAACAGGAGCTGTCTTATGCACTTGAACCAGAAAGCATGTGCCCTTGATCAGAAAGAATGAAGTCTTGAACAGGAGCTGTCTTATGCACTTTAACAGAAAGCATGTGTGATCTTGAGCCTTTTTATGCCTTTGAACAGAAAGAATGTAGTCTTGAACAGGAGCTGTCTTATGCACTTGAACCAGAAAGCATGTGACCTTGACCAGAGCCTATCTTATGCACTTTAACAGAAAGAATGTAGTCTTGAACAGGAGCTGTCTTATGCACTTGAACCAGAAAGCATGTGCCCTTGATCAGAAAGAATGAAGTCTTGAACAGGAGCTGTCTTATGCACTTTAACAGAAAGCATGTGACCTTGATCAGAGCCTTTTTTATGCCTTTGAACAGAAAGAATGTAGTCTTGAACAGGAGCTGTCTTATGCACTTGAACCAGAAAGCATGTGCCCTTGATCAGAGCCTATCTTATGCACTTGAACAGAAAGAATGTACTCTTGAACAGGAGCTGTCTTATGCACTTGAACCAGAAAGCATGTGCCCTTGATCAGAAAGAATGAAGTCTTGAACAGGAGCTGTCTTATGCACTTTAACAGAAAGCATGTGACCTTGACCAGAGCCTATCTTATGCACTTGAACAGAAAGAATGTAGTCTTGAACAGGAGCTGTCTTATGCACTTGAACCAGAAAGCATGTGCCCTTGATCAGAGCCTATCTTATGCACTTGAACAGAAAGAATGTACTCTTGAACAGGAGCTGTCTTATGCACTTGAACCAGAAAGCATGTGCCCTTGATCAGAAAGAATGAAGTCTTGAACAGGAGCTGTCTTATGCACTTTAACAGAAAGCATGTGACCTTGACCAGAGCCTATCTTATGCACTTGAACAGAAAGAATGTAGTCTTGAACAGGAGCTGTCTTATGCACTTGAACAGAAAGAATGTACTCTTGAACAGGAGCTGTCTTATGCACTCGAACAGAAAGAATGTAGTCTTGAACAGGAGCTGTCTTATGCACTTGAACAGAAAGAATGTACTCTTGAACAGGAGCTGTCTTATGCACTAGAACAGAAAGAATGTAGTCTTGAACAGGAGCTGTCTTATGCACTTTAACAGAAAGAATGTAGTCTTGAACAGGAGATGTCTTATGCACTTGAACGGAAAGAATGTACTCTTGAACAGGAGCTGTCTTATGCACTTGAACAGAAAGCATGTGCCCTTGACCAGAGCCTAGCTTATGCACTTGAACGGAAAGAATGTAGTCTTGAACAGGAGCTGTCTTATGCACTTGTACAGAAAGAATGTACTCTTGAACAGGAGCTGTCTTATGCACTTGAACAGAAAGAATGTACTCTTGAACGGGAGATGTCTTATGTTGTCACATGAACGGAACCTACAATGCTGTCATTGCGTCATTGCCATGTTACACCGATTTGTGGAAAAGGTTATTCAATTTGGTTGATTAGTGTTTTTTCTGTCGCGTTTTATCAGCTTTGCGACAGCGATACACATGTGAAAACCATCGAGATGCAGTAGCTTTCCTTGCTTCAACTATCCAGTATACTATCAACCACATACGTTGTACTGCGCCCTCATTATACCCTGAACCTACGCTCGTTGTAAGGCGAGAGCATTGATTTAGCACAACCCCTTGGTGTATCAAATTAAAACCTCATTTCCCTACTTGTATTTAAGATGATGAAGCAAATATAAGAATGGGCTGGTGTGCCCTTAGGGGACGCTCGGAAACAATGGAATCCACATTTGGGTTCTTTGTCACGTGATTAGATCAATTAACTAATAGTGATCGATATGATAGTCTGGTCATTTGGATATGGTTGGTCAGTCAGATGTTTGCGGAGCTGCGTAGTGCTGGCTTCATTAATACATTCAAACGGACGGTGGTCTAACAAGGCTAAATGGTGGAGACATGGACAAGATCTGATCTGACTGCAGCCGATTTGAGTTCTCGATGGCTGAAAACGAAACCCCCTTCTCGAAGTCTGTAATCTCTGTGTGAAATGCAGGGACACACTGTGGCTGTTGACAGAATACATAGTGATAAACGCTTTAAATCCCCGTAATCAGTATCATCATCACTTCCTTTAAACATGTAACCTAATCAATACCTGGATCAAGCGTCTTGCCGTAGTAAATCGTGTGCTAAGTGCTCATCGTTCCGAATAGTAGTTAAGGTAATTTATTGCATTTAGAATAAACTCATATCTCTTAAGTTACTGATGTCTTCGACACACTAGCATTAAGAGACAAAAACACCTCGAATCTGCGGCAGGGTCTGTACATTTGGGCAATTTCTGCCTGAATGATAAAACTGCAACATGAGCAAAGTAGCACTGACGCAAAACCTACAACCATTAACTCCGCAATACTCCTCAGCAGGAAACATGAGACGGGGAAACAGGACATTGTGGGAAAGAAGACACGCAACGAAACACGATATGGGAAACAAGATGCAATGGTAACTGAATACAGGGGTCACGGGTCACAGAGGAAATTGCATCGGGTGGTGGAGTGGGGTGGGGTTACAGTGGGGTACAGGAGAAACAGGTCACAGAGAGAAACAGCATACAGGGTACACAGGGATAAACGGGACATAGGGAGAAAGGGACACAGGAAGAAACGGGACACATGGAGAAAGGGACACAGGGAGAAACAGAATAGGGGGGTACACAGGACAAAGAGGGAAAGAGGACACAGGCGCAAGAAGACATAGAGAACAACTGACCACATGGTAAATATGTGGAATAGGGAGACAAAGGGAACTGGGCACACATAACACTGACAGAATCAAGGTCACGGGACCAGCAGCGTTGTCCATGATCAGGACCTGTTGTGTTTTGTCTCCGTGAAGGCAAACACCGCGAGTGTAGACATTGGAACCCGGACAGCCATGGCCAACATTCTCTATTGACTTGACCTCTTTGTCCATGGCTATCAATAAACAGTATCGCGTCGTCTTATGTTTAATCATATTTACAAATCAAATATCTTGTTACATTTGAAAGAGGTCTGTAATGGAACATATTCATCTATGTGGAAACCAGGGACGCAAAAATGAGTTCAACTCCACGGTCCTTGCGGTCAGTTTTAAAACGTGTGCGTTCTTTCTTTGTATTATTTGTTACACGATAGAATCTTTTACAATATCACTATAACAAAACGTAACACAGAGACTGGTTCACCCACAAAACTTATGAAACTACCACTGCCACAAGGTACAAAGCGAGTAGCCAGATGTGTAATTTGTAGCCACTGCCGAAGAAGCTGTGTGTCTACAATACTACCTTAACGTTGATGACCTAATCAAATCACAACGCAGGCTGCTGAGGTATAGGTTGAGGAGGTTTTGACCATTGCAACAGACTTGCGATAGTTACAAGCACTATTGCAATATTCTAATACAATACTCGACAATACCACTAAATATATTTATCACAGGACCTAGAGGTGGTATTAAAGGCGATATTGGCCAGGTTGTTTATCGTCCTGGTTATGCTATATACATGTCATTCACCATACGGTAAGCCGTCCGACTATCATGCTCATCCAGAGGACATCTTGGACATACTGTAAATCATGAAATTCATGCGATTAAACACTTGATGCGTAAAATGCGATTGTCCCCTGCTCTCACTAACAAGGTGAGGACGTGTCTAAGTGTTAACAACAGTGTTATGTCGGGTCCACTGCACATGGGCGGTGATGTATACACAGTAAACAATGAACCTGAGTTCCATATATCGAGAGTGTTCGTCATCAAGTTCCGCGTTAAGTGTGGTCAGATTGTACACCAAGCTTTTTCAAAGTCATCAACCTTGTCTGATGGGGTCTTAGTCCTTGTCCAGCTGCTCCACGTATTTTAGACCAGGGATCGCATTCATTTGACTGCGTGTTAATTTCTGGTTTTACGGTATTTTACTCTTCGACGTACGGAAACGTTAGGCAATTTGTAGTGGAGGCCATTACAGTATATGCATGTTTCCAATACAAGTCGACTGACAGCAGGAGAGGTACAGCATTGATGTTTTGATTTTGTAGATGACGAAGGACACTAACTGGTACATCGGCACATACACATCATCAGGGAAAAGTTAATAACGTGATTGTAATAAGTTTGCGCCTTCCACTTAATCACGTGAGTGAGTGAGTAAGCGAGTGAGTGAGTGAGTCTGCAAATAACATCCAAATCTTTTCCACTAGCAAACTATTGGATGGGCACTCTACCACTATACTGTCATATTACTCCAGTGTTGAGTCCCAATGGGCGATTAAGATGATATGGGAGGGTGGTAGAACAGAATTATATGACCTGATAACAGACTTTAGGCGTTCACCTTCGCCCCTAAATTACCCAGCAGTGCATTGAAGATGTTCATCATTTGCGGTGTGGTTACCCTTTGTC